TTTTTTCAGAAATATAATTCGTCAAAAAATATTTTGTCGAAACCGTATTTTATTGGAAAAATAATTCATCAGAAAGTATTATGTTGGAACTATTCAATATAATTTCATCAAAAGCACCCCATGACTGCATGTTATCGTCGTTGAGTAAAAACTATTTTCCGACAATATATTTTCCGACGAATTATTTTTTGAAAAAAAGCTTTCCGACAAAATACGTTTTCGACAAAATACATTCCGACAAATTCTTTTTTCGACGTAATACAGTACCGACAAAATACTTTTGTAACGAATTATTTTTCCGAAAGAAATACGGTTCAGACAAAATATTTTCCAATATTTTACGTACCCCCGTCCTATTTTAAGATAGAAAAGTCTTGTGGTAGAGTGATAATACACAAGAATCACATGATACATTGGAAGGAAACGATTGGCAACAATGAAACATTGTGCCTAATAACTTGTCATATTTTTACAACTGTAACTTCATTCTCAGGTCTATATAATCACACAATTCCGACAAAATATATTTCATGGGTTATTGATTAATCAATATAATTTGACTTTTTGGTATATGGCCGTCAAATGTTCATATGTTTGACGGTGTTTTTCATATAGTTTTCTATTTAGTTGTTTATATGTTTATGCTGTTCTCTAAATCATACTATTTATATTATAATTTATCATGTTAGAGTTTGATAGATGCATGTTTTTAATAAACAAAAAAAATGTCACAACCGTATACGAAGAGAATCGAAGGACAAATAAAGGTATTTTACGAATACTTATATTTTACGAATAAGTTTAGCGATATTTAATTTATAAAATATTTAAATATCCGACCATTTAAAAATTGGAAGTTTTAATATAGGATTTAATAGATCAACAGTGTATGAATTGTGGAAACACAAGCAGTAATCAGAAAATACAATTTGTATCTATTAAATTATTTATTTTTTACAATGTAGGGAAAAGTACAAATATAATAATGACCATGGATTGGATATCAAGGAATAAGGAATAAAGATTACGAGCAAAGACTTAAGATAAGGTTTGTTTGCTTATCGACACCATGATGACCTTTTTTTTTAAAGAGATTTTCAAAAGCTGCAAAAGGAGCATAGAATAACAGAAGTTGGAAACCACTGATCTATGCATATTTTCCTGAAATTTTAGGGGGATGAGTGGTATGAACCTCAAAAACACCATTCTTGTATACGCATTTATAACAGATTTACCGTATTTAGTTTATATACCATACTGTTTAAAAGTTTTTACTCAAATCGAATTAATAGCATTATTAAAATATCGATCTACAATATAATAATGCTGTATTAGAGAATAACACTACCTACTGACAGACTATAATAATATAGGGATTAGCAAGTTCCTATAAGAGTATAATAGTAGTTAAATATAATAGTGGTTAAGCGGGTACATACGGAAGTTCCGACATGAAAAAAAAAATATTTATGCGTAAATTCCTAATAAAATAAACAAACTATGCAATTATTTAGTGACTAATTACATATAGGATAATATTACGTCCCCCCCTAGTATTTAGGCTAATGATACTTCTGATAGAAGTCTTACAACCAATGCTTGTGAAAGTTTCCACTCCGAATTCAACTAAAAATTTTATCATCGTCATCCTAATAAATTCAAAATATCGAAGTTTTAAAAATGTTTCAAACAAATACATATATCAAAAAAAATACAGGAAATTGCAATTGACCTAAAAAATACATAAAGATAATGAAAAAAAACAAAATTATATCAGTAATAAAATATCAAATACAAGTTAAAAAAAAAAAAAAAAAAAAATATAACTACCTATACGAAGT